ATTTAAAAAAAAAAAAAAAAAAACATTTCCCTTGACTGTGTATAAATTTTCACATCAATAAATACTGAGAGGAGAGCAGTTATGGAAGTATGTATATGGGGTCCATTTACTGGAGAAGCTGATGTCAAAAGCCATTTTCCCTCTGGTATTAAATTGTCCCCCATCTGAGTTCTCCGAGGCTTTTTACCGCCCATAATTACTTCATTTTTCATTTTCTTGTTGTTTGCGGTGTCCTCCGTTCAAACCGTCTTAGGTCTTAAAAATCTCCACCTGTGAAATACGAATCGAAACAATTATACGCAGCTGTTATAAGCAGCCGTTTCCATGACACCATTAAAGGAAAGATCAAAGGAAAAATGTCCGGGAAAAGAAAGGAATTACAGGCAAACATCAGAGAGAGCACTTCTTGGATACAGAATTGCGTGTAGATTCGCCCACAGCTGTGATGCACAAAACACATGTGTGTGTGTGTGTGTGTGTGTTTACTGTAAGTTAAGCTGTGATTGGTTGACGTCCTGATCTTTGTGTTCAGGGAAAGTGGATTTGCTGGAAGAAGTCACATGTTTCTCTGGCAGTAACAAGGGCAGCAACTCCGAGGTCCAGTCGCTGAGCTCCTTTCAGTCTGATTCCTGTGATGATAATGGTAAGAGTGTGTGTGTGTGTGTGTGTGTGTGTGTGTGTGTGTGTTGCTCCTGCTCATTGTGAAAGGATAAAACAACATGCATCTTTCCTCAGGACTCTTCATGCTGTCATCTTCATTTTCAATTTGTAAATTTAGTAAATATTTTAAGATATTTTTTTATTTTTGAGGGAGGTGTGTGTGTTTGTATGTGTGTGTTGCTGCTTTCAAGTCCCTGACTTTATACTCTTTTTACAAACTTTAATATAGCAAAATATCTTTACAATTGATTCTTCATGTTTGCTCATTTATTTATTATTTGTCATTTAATACCTTAATATTGAACTTTAAGCTATGAGACATGAAGGAATCTCAGATCTGCAACAGAGAATCATGAGAGTTGTAGTTTTGTCGCACAGACCTGTTGCCTTTTAATCGGTAAAAGTATTTTCTGTCAAGAATTATTGCTTTATCAACAGTACAAAAATGCAAACAAGCAAATTCTGTAATTAACATTCACTATTATGATTTATTATAATTAATACCAATTTTTAAAAGTCTACTGATTTTAATATATGTTTTTTTATTACTAACAATACAGATAAAGATAATTTTTGTTTGTTAAAGTGTCTAATAATCAATGTGCCAAGATGTTCATTACACTTTAATATATATACGCCAAATAATCATAAATAGTAAGACTATGATCATAAGAACATATGTTCATATTTAATAATTATTAATATTATAATTAATAGATTAATAATTATTAATAAATAATATCTCACTTAAGCATGCATGACTATTGTTTTAAAAAGTATTACAAACTGATTTTAATTATTGCTTAAAATCTCGGGCTAACCACACTAAATAATTCTCTAAATAAATAAAATAAATAAGTAATTATACTAGGGAAATTAAAACATGTAAATAAATTAAGAATTATTATTATTAAAAAAAACTTTAATAATAATAAATAGCAATAATTAATCATTGAAACATTTCACTTAGACATGCATGACTATTTAAATAGTTAATTAAATTAAACTAATATAAAACATATAATTTATGCAAACATTCAAATATTAAAATGTCAAACACACAGCTGTTGTTGGATGCTATGCTTTAGAAACTCACCCTTTATCAAATGACCTTGTATTAAAAGACTAGCTGCTTAAGTAGACCAAACCATTTGTCAGTTTGTCTCCACAAGTCTTTTCTGCCGTTATTCTTTAATTGACAGTGCAAAGAAATCCAGCGTTTCCCGTTAAATATGATATTGTAGTGACTTTAATTCACTCTCATCTCAATTTACACTCATTCAAAGATTTGAATGCAGCAGGTGTGTGTGTGTGTGTGTGTGTGTGTGTGTGTGTGTGTGTGTGTGTGTGTGTGTGTGTGTGTGTGTGTGTGTGTGTGGGTCACATCACCATCTCTCCTCAGATTCGCTGGAATGATGTCATGCTTGCCTTTCATTGGTCACAGCTAAATTCATCTGCAGCCAATCTGGCCACAGAAGCTTCTGCAGTGGACCAACAGTGTTACCGAAATTGTGGAGTTGATTCTTCTGTTTGATTGGTCTGTGGTTGTGTGTGTGTGTGTGTGTGTGTGTGTGTGTGTGTGTGTGTGTGTGTG